TCAGCTTGAGAAGGAGCCTTTGCTCCACAGAGCTAAGTCTCTTATCCCTGCTCTCTGAGCAGGACAGGGGGACATTAATCTAGATATCAGACTAACCTGGACTTTTCCAGATTAGAAAGCTTAGATGAGTGACACCCACTGCACTAGTAGGGGGGCAAATGTGATGGTTTTATTGCACAGTCATGCAGGGTACCTGTAGAGCCATCCCTACCAGTGCTGGTGCCCTCCCCAGCCCAACATCTGTACCCCCCACAAGGGGAATGGCTGCACCATGGAGGGAAGGGAGCCTGCAGGGGCAGAAGCTGTGGGGGAGCAAAGGGGTTGCCAACTCTCCTGGACTGGACACCATCACTGGGAGGAAGACTCATCTGCAGCCTTAGGGGAGCAGGCAGGAGGCGTGGGCGGCCTGTTCCCAAGAGCAGCCAGCGATGCCCAGTGCGTGTTGAGGAGGTGGAGCAGGTGCGGCAGGATTCTTGGTGCCTTGCTTCTAGGAACAGCGGCACCATGCTCCTCTCCTTTGCTGCAGCCGCTCCTGGGAGCAGGGCCTGGCAGACCAGTGGATATCATCTATCTACGGGCAGACATCTGTATCCAAGCAGGGCTCTAGCATGGGGCCGGGGCAGACAGGGAGCCTTCTTCAGGTTCACTGCATCGCTGACCTGAAGCTGCCCCGGTAACTGCTGCCTGATAGAAGCCTTCACTGCAATGTCCCAGTCCTCGCCCAAAACCAGCATCCCTCCTGGACTGCCTCCCAGAGCCAGCACCCCATACTCCATCCTGCACCCCAAATCAGCCCTGACCCCCCCCCAAAGAGCCAACACACATAACCCTTCCTGCACTCAGAACCCTCTCTTGTACTCCAAGCACCTGTCCCAGCCCTAGCCTTGACCCCCCCCCAGAGCCAGCACCAACCCCCTTCTGCATCACTGTCCAGCTCTGCCCCCATCCCAGAGCCAGCACCCCCTCCTGAACCCTGGCCCCAGCTCTGAGACGCCTCCCGGAACACTCCTTCTGGTACCCCTACCCCTTTGCCCTGATGCCCCTCCCAGAGCCAGGACTCCATCCCCCCCCCTTGCACCCTAAAACCCCTGCCCCAACCCTGACTCCATCTCAGAGGCAGCACCAACACCTTTCTACACCCTATACTCCTCCTGTATCCCAAGCCACAGCCCTGAACCCCCTCCTGAAGGCAGCAACAATACCCAATCCTGCACCCCAATCCCCATCCCGAACCTCAAACCCTGCCCAGTAAAAGTGAGTGAGGGGTGGGAGAGAGCCAGTGAGGGAGAGAGGGGGATGGAATGAGTAGGGTGGGGCTTCGGAGAAGGGGCAGGGTAGATCTCGGGTTGCCCTTAAATTCCAAAGAGATCTTGGGCATAAAAATATTGGGGACCACTGGTCGCTGCGGGCAGTGCAGGCAGTTGAATGGCTTTCGAGCACTCCTTGTTATCTGCTAATAATGAGTAGGAGTTGAAACCAGTCCGTTCTCTGGCTCCTTTGCAGCTCATTAGCCACAGGGGGTTCCCAGCTCCCCTTCCTCCAAGCTACTTCTTTGACTTTATACAAAAAGGCATTTCCTGCAATTCTGCTGTCCCATTCTCCAACTGTGGCCAGCGCCAGTTGTTTGACAGCTTGGAGAAGCCCCAGAATGGGCAACTGTGGAAGAAGTTGCCCACAAGATAAGTTTCAATCTGATCCCTATACTTAGGTCTACACGGAATCTGCAAAAATGTCCTTATGATCAACAAGAAAGTATTTCTACACACGCTCCTTCAATTTATATTCTAAATATATTCAAAGGCCTTGATCCTGACAGGTGCCAAGAGCCCCAACCCCTGATAGTCCCTAAAAGCCAAAACCCCTTGGTGTCACTCCACCCACTCCCCTTTGGACAAGCAAGTTCATGCCCAGGACAGTATTTGCCAACTCTTGGACCTCTACAGACAACTACATACGAAACCCATGGGTCACCACATCTACCATCACAGATTCAGTAACCACCCCAAACACGCCGAGAAGTCTGTCAAAGGCAGGCACTCTGATACTAAAGAACACACTCCAAGGAGAAAGTTTGCGACGGGTATCTTAACACATTCAAAATACCATCACCAAAGGAGGAGAGACTGCCAGAGTAGATTGCATCAGGGAATGGACCAACCAAACATATCAAAAAACTTGCTTTAGTGCAAAAATAAAACTCCCACCAACTGTACTACCTTAGATGTCACCTGGGATGACTGGTGAGCAGTGACATGGGGGCCATCAGCCACATGACCCCTGCCAGCCCAGGAAAGGGTCAGAACAATCCCTTTCAACCCAGATCCTGCCTCTCCCCACCCCTGTTCCACCCTCTCCCCAGCAATTGCTCCACTCCCACCTCTTCCCCCAACCCCCTCCTCCAAGCGGTGTGGCTCAGGAGACTAGCAGGGTCAAAGATCCGGTGTCAGCACCAGGGTTCAGCTCTTCCGCAATCATCAGCATCAGTGGAAGAAGCTGAGCAACGGAGCCCCACTCCCCTGACAGCATCGCTCTATTTGCCGCTGGTGTATCCCCTCCCCGGAGCAATGCACCAGGGGGGCTAGTGAGAGGGAAGGAGATTAGTGCCTGCAGTAGGGGGCCATCCCCCCACACTCGCTGACAGCAGCACGGGAAACAGAGCACTGCAGTCCCAGCTTGCTCTGCTCTCCGTCACTCAGTGGAGGGGTAGGACTGCCCCCAAACTCATTAGCGGGAAGCAGAGCGATGCTCTGGGGGAGCAAAAGTGAGATAGGGCCATGTTGCTCCACTTCCCCCGCTGCTGTCTGTGAGTGTTGGGGGGCCCTGACTGCAGCTGCCAGTGCCAGACCCCCAGCCCTGCTAGATCCCCTCCAGTAATTGGGGAAGAGTTGGGGTGGAGCAGGGGCGGGGCCTGGGTGGAGGGAGATGTCCAGGCACTTCCCTGGGCCAGGGGAAGTCACATGGCTGGTATGTCTCCCCTTACCATCCACCCCTGCTAATAGCGTGTTGAGCACAAGTCCGCACCCACTGAAAGCAGGGATATAGAAAGACTTCAACAGACCATGGAAAGCACACCGTGTCTTGTCCCCGTTCCTATGTAACCATCTTTTCTGACTCCTGCCTAGCCTCCTTGTGGGCACCTCCATCCAGGTGTCAGAACTAGGCATCAACTTCTCTGCTCCCAGACTGAAGTTTTAAGGTGTAATTTACTCTACTTATCCCAGCACATTTGACTTCAGTCCAGCACCTGAATTTCTGCTGTCTCCCAAGGGCTATGACAGGGATTACTTGGGTCCAGCCATTTTTCAGAAAGCATAAAGCAGTTAGGACAAACACATTACAAAGAATACATAAAACAAATAATCTACTCACAGGCTAACCGGTTTTTCCCCTGGGAAATCTCAGGAGGTAAAATAGGAATTAAATTAAATAAACAATACATATCCCGCCCCTATAAAAAACACTTCTGAATCAAGTTCCTCCTTTCTCAGTCTCAACCTGGGCTGCAGTCACTTCAGCAGATCTACACTTAAAATGCTACAGCCACACAGCTGCACCAATGCAGATGCATTGCTATTGCACTTAAGTGAAGATGCTCCTATGCCAACAACAGAGTTTCTCCCACCAGCATAATTAATCCACCTCCGCAAGAGGTGGTAGCTCTTCCAACAGGAGATCTCCTGCCAATACAGTGCTGTTGACACCAGAGTTAGGTTGATATAACTAAGTTGCTTAAAATGTGTGCACTTTTCACACCCAAGTGACGCAGTTATACTGGTATAAGTCTGTTGGATATACCTGGCCTTACTTTTGCCCAAAGCAGTTCACAGAAAATATACAGTTGGCACTAACCATTTATTCTTGACACACTTCTCCCTCCCCCACAAAAAGAAGGCACTCTAAATCACTCAAAAGGAGTAAAATTAGCCATAAATGAGACATGCACACAAGCTTAATACACAATACACACATTACACCAACTAAAGCCCCAGAATATTCCCCTTTTCCATATCTCACTGTGGGACTGATTCAATGGGGTCATCACCTTTTCAGAGCCAGGGCCTCTCTACTCTTCTGCAGCCAAAGACTAGGTTACATCATCCACAGGAAAGAGACACAGCTTATATATCAGAGGGGTAGCCGTGTTACTCTGAATCTGCAAAAGCGACAAGGAGTCCTGTGGCACCTTATAGACTAACTGAAGTGTAGGAGCATAAGCTTTCGTGGGCAAAGACCCACTTCGTCAGATATAGATATATACAGCTTATATAGTGTCCCACTTGCACAGTCCTCCCCTAATCCCACCAGCTTTTGGGAGGCCACAACAGCCATCAAGTAGAGGTAGCAGGGACAGATCAGCTCATGTCCAGGACAGCAGCCCCAGGAGGAGGGACGGGGGAACCTGTATCCATGGTCATTTTATGCCTCTAGTTAAACAGAACAGGCCCTGACCGTGGCTCTGAAGACGCTGGATTTAAATTGCATTCATGGGCCCTGTGCGCTGATAAAACTATGCACCTGTGGAGAAGTGACTGTGAGGAGACGGCGCAGGCCGACTTCCTTGGAAGTGGGAGAAGAGGAAGGTCCAGTACAGGGCAGCCTGAGGCTCAGCCACCGGGGGAGGGAGGTTCAGAGCAAGGGCAGCCTGCGGCCCAACTGCCGGGGAGCTGGGCGGTATTAATTAGCCTGGCCCCTCCCCCCGGCGCGTCGTCTCTCCCCTAGCTGCGGGCGGGGCGTAGCAAGTCCAGCCAGAGCCTCCCTCAGGCACTCTCCTGTCCCTGGGCGTGGCCGGGTTCGGCTGCATTGTGCCCCGCCCCTTCGCCGCCCAGACCAATAGGAGCTCAGCCCCGCTCTGGATGAAAAAGGGGGCGGGGTGGTTTTCAAGTGTACAGGCGCGGCGCCCTCCAGGGTTCTGTAGGGCTGCGTGCGTGCGTGTGCGTGTGCGTGTTGGAGCGCATCGCGCGTGCGCTTCCCCCGACAGGCGTCTGTCCTGAGCCGCCGTGGCCACCAGATGGCAGCAGAGGGACTGGGGAGACTCATTTCTGGCGCGGCATACGGGAAGTAGCGGGGCGCTGTATGCAGGGCGATCCCCTCTATAGGGAAAACTAGCGACTCCTCCCTCCCTCTGCGAGGAAGCAGTGGGGCTGTGCGCGTGCAAATTACAGGTACTAGTGTGTAGGGACAAGGGCGGAGCGAGTCCCTCTATAGGGGACAGCATGGATGCTTCAGGCCCGCCTATACCGTCGTACAGGATTGGGAGCAGGGACACCTGCTATGCGCAGGGATAGTGGGACTGGGGTGAGTAGGAATCCGTCTACGGAGTGGGGAAGATGCTCTCCTTAGAGTCAACATAAGAGAACCCAGCATAGGAAAAGGGAATTTCCACTGAGAGGCTCATTCACTGTTTATTCCACACATGCGATCTCTCCTGCAGTCTCCCTGCGCTGCCACAGCAGCATCATTTCCAGCCAAGGAGCTGAGAACATCCTGGCTACTTCTAGACTGGCATGATTTTCCGCAAATGCTTTTTACGGAAAAGTTTTTCCGTTAAAAGCATTTGTGGAAAAGAGCGTCTAGATTGGCACAGACGCTTTTGCGCAAAAGCACTTTTTGCGGAAAAGTGTCCATGCCAATCTAAACGCGGTTTTGCGCAAGAAAGCCCCGATCGCCAATATCTCCATCGGGGCTTTTTTGCACAAAACAGTTTTTAGCTGTCTACACTGGCCGTTTTGTGCAAATACATTTGCGCAAGAGGGCTTTTTCCCGAATGGGAACAGCATAGTATTTGCGCAAGAACACTGACAATCTTACAAGAACACCGACAATCTTGCGCAAATTCAAGGGGCCAGTGTAGACAGCTGGCAAGTTTTTCCGCAAAAGCAACTGCTTTTGCGGAAAAACTTGCCTGTCTAGACGCAGGGAACTGCAGTTGCTGCCCCCCCCAGAGCTTCGCACCCCACTGGAACAAGGTCCATGCAGCTAGAGAGCAACCATCTGGGCAGGGAGGAACACAACAGTAGAAATAAGATAGAGGCATAGATCAGGGGTGGCCAACCTATGGCTCTTGAGCCACATGCAGCTCTTTGCTCACAGAAATGCAGCCCTCAGGGTTACGGCTTGTTCCGAGCCACATGCCCGCTTTGTGCACACGCCCCAGTTCCTGGAGGGAGAAGTGCGTGGCTGTGGCGGTGGCAGCTCCAGTGAGACCAAGGCATTGGGTTAAAATGGGAGGGGTTTGGGAGTGCCTGGCTCTGGGGGAGGGATGTGTGGCTCTTTGCACTACTATCCACAGCTGTTTTGGCTCTTTGTGTCTAATTGGTTGGCCACCCCGGCATAGATGTTGGGTAGAAGATAGTCACATTTCCCGAGCTCTCACTTTCCACGCTGTTTATCACTTCATTAAGTGACTGCAAACTCTGAGATTCCAAGGCAGCAGGTATTTCAAGCAACTTAGTTCATGGTATATCAACATTAGTTCAAGGCTGGTTTCAGGATCTAACTTCTTGTTTAAGAATCTAGGACAATGTACACTCCAGTAAAGAATCAACTGGACAAATTCACTAAATTGGACAATGAAGTTACACCAGGATGAAACCACAGTCACCACTGAACTGCACTAACCTGATCAAGAAAAACTAGGACCTTGTACTAGAGTAGAAGAGTAATTTGCTGCTATTTCTGTACAAAAGCCAAAGTAGTAATTTAAAAATAAATTATGTCAATTTGATCCTATAAATAGTCCCCATTTTCCACGGTTATGTCTAGAAACACAAAACCAGACAATATATAATTGCCCTTGACTGTAATTTTGCATTTTTTCCTGCAAGAGCCTCTCAGCATAGACCTCTTTGAAATCATGGGGCATTCAGGACCATGCATGATGTTTTTGTACTCCTTACTCCCCATGGCTTTACTGAGCACTTTGGTGGCAGAAGGAAAGTTTAACTATATAACAAACCAAACTATTTAACAGAAGTAGTCCCAAATGAAAGCACTGTTTTAATTAAGTGATAGAAAACAGTCATACGGACTCCTTTGGGGTACATCTACACTGCAGAGGAAGATTGAAGCTGCCGCTGTCATTCTTCTAGGGTTCGAATTAATGGTCAAGTTGAACAGTGAGAGGGTCTAGTTCGAAGTGAGAGGGTCACTTTGGTCAATGCCAGCAGGGGCGGCCCGTGAGCCTAGGCACCCTGTGATGATGTCATGGCAATTGAAGGCCATGTAGGGGGGAGCGCCAGCTGCTGCAGCCGGCCTCAGGCCGCTCCCGGATTCTGGTAACCCTGCTTTCACAAGGAGTAAGGGAAGTCAAAGGAAGAGTGTTGACAATGCAAAGCCGAGTTAAGCTACTTCGACTTCAGCTACACAATTAACATAGCTGAAGTTTCATATCTTAATTTGATTTTGTCCTGTAGTGTATACATACACTCAAAGTCCTGCACTATGATTGCTCCATAGAGGCCAACCTCCTCTGCCAAATGTTGTCAGTAGCAGCAATGGCTGGATTGGAATAGCTAAAGGTTCCTCATGAGGATACCCCCTAGCTACCCTTAACACGCAAATCTCTCACAAGCCCCTCAGTAACTCTGTATATAGCAAAGAAAACTTATATGAGAAAAGGAACAGCATTAATATGGGAAACAATAAATCTACCACATGGTGAATGAACACTAATCAAAACCCCTTCTTCCACATTTCTTTTGTCTCAGTTTCCTCACCTGCAGCTCTGAGGGTGCATCTCCACTGCAGGGCTTGACTCTAAATAAGCTACACAAATTGAGATGCTTCAATTGCCTATCTTATTTCAAAATAGCTTATTTCGAAATAGGGAGCATCTACACAGCACTTATTTCAAAATAGAGCACTTCCAGCTTCCCTTAGTCCTCATACAATGTGGCTGTGTCTACACTGGTGCAATCTTGCGCCAAAGCGACCGCTCTTGCGCAAAAACTTGCTGCCTGTCTACACTGGCCGTGTGTTCTTGCGCAAGTAAACTGACGTTCTAATGTATAAAATAGCCTGAAGTTTAGACATACCCTAAGTTATTTCAGAATAGTGCTAGTTATTTTGAAATAGTGTTGTAGTGTAGACGTACCCTGATAGTCCTATGAACAAATATTTCCTTTAGCACACTACTTACCTCCTCATAGGTAGCAGTCAGACATTAGTATTGTTCCCAGGACAGCATCTCTCCCAGCCACTATGGTTTTCAGACACAATATAAAGGTTGGGTCCTGAGGCTCTATTACATGACCCAGCTTTCAGTGTTTCCAGCTCCCATAACTAGTAGGTAGGTAGAAGACTCATTATGGAGTACATTCAACTCTATTATTATACTATACAACCTTAGCAGAGAAAGACGCGAGCATCTCCTATACTCTCCAAACAAAACCCAAATATTTTTTGTCATTTGTCTCTCAGTGATTGGAATCTGAAATATTGGAAAGGGTGACCTCTGATTTAGGACATATTCACTACAGTTCTTTTCTCCTTTAGTCATGCAGTCGGGCACATAACATTTCATTACACCTACAGCCAAGACATATATTCGGTTTAATCCAAAATGGCCAAAAATGATCACATGGCCAGGTGGGAATCATGCATGCCAGTGAGGTCTCTGTTCATTTGCTCTTTTCCCTCTAGTTTACCAGTAGCTGGTGAAGAGGGCTCCTTTTCTCTAAATGCCTATCCAGATGTACATGTATCTAAGAAGAGCCTTAGCAGAGAGGCTGAGGGGCAGGATTGAGGGGCATCAGCAGAAGTGTTTGGATGGGGTGAGGAGCCCAGAGCAGGGTTGAGATGGAGGGGCATTGGTAGAGTTCTAGGGGCGGGAGCTCAGGGCTGGGCTAGTATAGGAGATGAGGGTCAGTATTGAGGGCCATCAGCAAAGTTGTGTCTTGCGGTAGTTCAGTACTGGGACAGCAGTGGGAATGCAGAGGGGCATCAGCAGAGGTCTCTACATGTAGCAGGTGCGTGAGTCCAGGGCTGGGAAAGCAAGTAACAGTGGTCAGGATTTGGGGCACCAGTAAATCCATGTGGTTGCTGAGCGCAGGGTTGGGATGTTTATGGGTCTGTAGGACATGATTGAGATGCATGATTGAGACTGGAACTGGGGGTGATGGTTGGTCTCTTCAGGTTTGAGTTGGGAGGCAAAAGTTCTGTCTAGTCAAGAATCAAAGGTAGGGGGCTTTGTCCCAGATGTAATTGGGGGAGATGAACCTCTTGAATTAGGAATGTGCCCTGCCCACCCAAAGTACAGTCCTCTGAAGTTCCTTCCCAATGCCTTCACTAGGGGCTTTTACCCATGCTCTCCCCTCATCAGATAGGACAGTTGTTCCCTGGGGGTTTCACCCTCCCCCTATCTTCTCTACTTGAAGAAGTTGCTTTTGCTCTCCTGCTCTCTGACTCTTCCCATGTCCGACATGGATTTGCTGGAGGGTTACCCTCTTTGCTCATCCTGGGTTGGGAGTGGTCACTGGGGGTACGTCTAGACTGCATCGCTATTTCGCATCTTTTGAACCAGCCCATTATTTCAAAATAGATTTTGAACTAACAGGCTTGCTGTTCTGATGTCCCTGTAATCTTTGTTCCATGGGAGTTACGAGACGTTTCGGAATAGTGGTTTATTTCAAAATTAGATCGAAATAAGAAACGCAACTTGCGTAGCTCTAATTGCGTATCTTATTTCGACCTACAGGTGCAGCGTATGCACCTGGGTGTTATCCTCTTCTCCCTGTGTAGGGGGAGTGATTCCAGTTGTGTCCAAGCAGCCAGGGACCAGAAGGGAAGAGAGCACTGAGTCAGGAACTGTTCCACTTGTGTCTGCAGGATGAAATGGCTGTGTCTGATAGAGGAGGAAAGGACGGATCAGAGGGAGCAAAAGGAGGGAAGCCAGCCGTATCAGCTAGAACACCTGTGTCCAAAGGAGGTAAGTCAGAGGAGGGAAAGGAGTCCACGTAGGGTCCGTTCCAGCTGCATCCATGGGAGGGGGAGCACAGAGCTGGGCATTGGGAAGCTTTTCCACCTGTCCTGGGAGATGGAGGCTAGGCACAGTTGGGTCATTTTAACCTTCAAATCCTTAAGCAGTAAAGTGACAGAGGTGCAAGGTTAATAAACAGTTTATTTGCATTTTACAAGATCAATCTTCTTACATTCTCAATTAATTTGCCATTAAAGTGCTGAAATATTTTTTTTAAATCAAGATACATTTGTTAACAGAAATTATAATAAATCTCAGAAAAGTGGCAGTCACAGATTTTTGCATCATAACTAAGAAAAGTCCTCTCTTATAATACAAATAATGAAACAAACATATGGAGACAACTAAGATGGTGTCAGTCGCATTCAATCCAAAACATGTAGAGTCAAGGTTAGTCTTTTATTGGTAAATTCTGTTTTTCTTCATGACATTTATCTTAAGTAGCCCAGGTTCTCTGGTCTTAAATTAAAATACATTTCTCACCATTACAACTATCAAAGCTAATAGCAATCATAGGTTTCTGTGATAAACACTCCAAGTCATTTTAAACTCCATCTTACAAGGGCAAGTGACATATTTCAGTTGTATCTATATATTTTACAGTGTTTTCAGTATATCCATTCTCATTATAGAAATGTAAGCCCTGCAAATAAAAGCCAAAAGGTACTTAAAATGGAAATATTATTTCCACAAACTGACACTGAAAATATCCAGTAAAATGAAAAGGATATCAAAATAGCTTGCTAGTAAACTTAAGCTCTCAGCATTTAATGCACAAACCAAAGTCATGAAAATGAAGAAACTTTCAAATACATCAGTTGAACTGTGGTGCAGCTGCAGGGTCACTTAAAATCTCCTCTCTTTTGGGTAGGCAAGCTAAGTCTACCATTTCACTAGGCACCGTTCATTTTATTGCTGAGATTGAAAGTATTTCAAGCTATGAAATTTATATACAAACACACAGAAGATATATATATACAGACATATATACATGGACGCTTTACTCTTTCTTTTTGGCAACAGTCAGTTCTACTGCTGGTACTCGGAATCCCCCCTTTGTCCCGCTATCGTTACTCGACGAGGAAGACAGGCGGGATTTCTTGGACGTTAATGAGACCCCACTCCCTGGCATCTTTCCTGCTTCATCATCACTTCCAGTTACCTCATAAGAACCTTTAGTTTTTGACCCTATTCCTCCAAATGTTCCAAATTTCATCTTGGCCTGTTTTTCTTTCTCTGCTCCTGAGCTGCACTCAAACTCCAACGTGCCAGTAGGGGTTGACTGGGAGGAATGTTCATCACTAAAGGAAGATGACCGATGACGTGGCTTTTTGCTTTTAAATAACGAAAACTTGCCTTTAGGTGAAGTGGCAGCAGCTTCCCCTCCCTCCAATTCGCCCTCCATAGAACCTAGACTTGCCTTGGAACTCTTCAGTTCTCCTTTAGACCCTGAAACGGACACTGAGACTTCTGTTGAGCCAACACTAGTGCCTTTGCCCTTAGGTTTTGAAAAATTAAACTTTGGCATTTTAATTTTAGATTTCTTAAGCTTGACATCTGGCTCTTCGCTCTCAGCCTCCATCACACCGGCCTGGAGACTGGCATCTGGCTGAGGGAAGTTAACATCAACCCCCACTTCTCTTCCTGTTACCTCATGTCCCGAAGACACAAATTTAGGCAATTTCATCCTAGGGAATGTCACTTTTCCTGAGGCACTTTCTAAGTTACTTTGTGGAAAACTCATATCTATGCCAGGACCTTTGAGTCCTACTTTGGGACCTTCCAGACCACCCTCTATCTTTGGTCCAGAAACATGAAGACCTCCTGCAACATTTGGCACATTCATTGCTACATCAAAACCAGAAGATGAAAGCTGTGGCCCTTTGAATTCACCACCTGAATGCTCAACGCCCAAGAGTGGCGCTTTCATGTCTCCAGAAATGCCGAAACCTCCTTTGATTTTAGGCCCTTTCAAATTCACATCGAAATCTGACCCAGAAACTTTTGGTGTTGATACACTGAAGGAAGGACCTGTTAAGCTGACATCAGGAGCATCAGCAGCAATACCCACCCCCGAAACCTTCATGCCTTGGGAACCTGAAATGTCACATTTGGGCAGTTTAACTGAAGGCATTTGAATATTTCCATGTGAGCTTTTCATGCTGATGTCTGGTGCTTCCATTCCAACTTTTGGGCCTTTAACATCGCCAGAAATATTAATATCACCCTTTAGGTTTGGTCCTTTTAAGTTAAAATCAATGTCAGATGTAGAGATTTTTGGAGTTGAAATTTTAAGTGGCTGTATTTTAACTGTAGGCCCTTTCAACTCTCCATCAATACCTGTGCCGATAAGGTCTCCTTTAATTTGTGGTCCTTCAATATTCATACCCATTTCAGACCCCTCAACATGAGGACTAGAAATGCCAAATTGGGGGAGCTTTAGAGAAGGAAGTTTAATTGCACCTCCAAGACCTTCCAAGTTAACATCAGGTGCATCTATAGCCACCTTGGGGGATTTAATGCCACCAGAAAGATCAAGATCTCCTTTTAACTTTGGTCCTTTCAAATTTACATCAAAACCTGGGGCAGAAATACCTCCTGATGGCATTTTCACTGCAGGCCCTTTGATATCAAGGTCTGGGGCACTGAGATGTACATCCATACCTGGTGCTTTTATGCCACCCTCAAGTTGCGGGACAGAAAACCCAGCATCCCCTTCCATGTTCATGTCTATGTGAGGTCCCTCCACAGTTGGAGATTTAAATTTGGGAAATTTAAGTTTTCCTCCAAGGCCCTTAATATCAACATCTGGAGAATGTATGTCCACTTTTGGACCTTTAAGATCACTAGAAGCATCCAGGTCTCCTTTTAGTTTTGGTCCTTTCAAGTTTACATCAAAATCAGGTCCAGAGACTTGGGGCATTGAAAGGTTTACTGATGGCATAGTCATCTTAGGTCCCTTCAGTTTTGCATCTAATCCTTCAGCTGCAGGAACACTCACACCTCCTTCTATACTTGGGGTTGAAACATCTACGCTTGCTGAGGGAAGCTGCATCTCAGCTCCTTCCAAATTCAGACCTGGTTTCCCTATCTTGGGCAGTGAGAACTTGGGAAATTTTAGTTTTCCTCCTGGACCTTCTAATTCTGCTGTGGGAAGACTGACGTCACCTTTTATTTTTGGTCCTTTCAAGTTCATATCAAAATCAGATGCGGAGAATGAAGGAGCAGAAATGTCCACTGAAGGCAGATTGACTGTAGGTCCTTTCAATTTGATGTCAGGGGCATTAATGTCTGCATCAATACCTGGGATTCTCAGATCACCTTCCATTTTGGGACCAGCTATATCAATATTTCCACTTGGAAGTTTGACCTTAGGTTTCTTAAGATTGATATCAGGACCTTCAATGTTAACATTAGGAAGTTTTGTGCTGATACTGGGAGTTGTAATGTCAAGACCTGGTGACTTTATGTCACCTTTGATACCTGGTGCAGAAACTTCCAAATCAGGTGCTTTAAATTCTCCTTCCATTTTAGGAACTGTCACAGAAGCATCAGCTTTGAACTTAGGTGATTTAATATCAAACTCAACATCTGGAAAAGAGAGTTTCCCAAACATTGGTTTCTTTCCTTTGGGGGATTTGACATTAATATCTCCTTTTATAGTTGCATCTGGGCCAGCTACATTCAGATCTAAATCAGGAGATTTCAAATTTACATCTGCATCACCACTAGGTAGATTCACATCAAATCCACCCTTCTTTCCTTTAATTTTAGGACCACTCATATGAAGTTTTGGCATTTTAAATTTGCTTTTCTTTCCTTTCCCAGACAGGCCAATATCAGGGGATTCCACATTCAGTTCACCTTCTGGGACAGCAATATCCACTTCAGGAGGTTTGATTTCTGTCTTAGGACTTTTAATTCCAAACCCAAATTTTGGTTTCTTAAATTTGGGAAGTTTAACATTGCCTTCAAGGCCTTCAGTGGTCACATCTGGACACTCAACATCAAGCTCAGGACTTCTAACCCCAAGTTCTGGGCCTTTGATATCAACTTCAGGACCTTTAAGATTACCTTCAATCTTGGGGACAGAAACATCTAAGTCCCCCTTCATTTTATGACCTTTCAAATTTAAGTCAATATCTGGCATTGAGATTTTAGGTGTCTTAAAATGCATCTCAGGCATCTTAAATTTTGGCCCTTTCAGTTTTCCTTCTGGACCTTCAATGTCCAAATCAGGAGCATCAATGTCTGTTTTTGGACCTGATAGATCAATCTCTCCCTTTGGAAGACTTACGTCCACATCCAGCCCTTCCCCTCTGAACCCAGGCGTACTGAATTTAGGCAGCTTCATTTTGGGCATTTTCAGTTTTCCTTCAGGGCCATGAATATCAATGTCTGGTGCATCAATATCCACTTTAGGACCTTTAATATCAAATTCAGGACCTTTCAAATCACCCTCTATTTTTGGACCAGAAAGACCTATGTCTCCTTTCAGTTTAGGTGCCTTTAGATTCAGGTCTACATCTGGCATGGAGATTTTAGGGGCCTTGATGTGCATTTCAGGCATCTTAAATTTGGGACCTTTGAGTTTTCCTTCTGGACCTTCAATGTCGACATCAGGAACATCTATGTCCAATTTGGGGCCTTTGAGATCAAAATCAGGACCTTTCAAATCCCCCTCAATCTTTGGAACAGAAACATCCATGTCTCCCTTTAGTTTAGGCCCTTTTAAATTCAAGTCAAAATCTGGCATGGAGATTTTGGGTGCTTTAATATGCATTTCTGGCATCTTAAATTTAGGACCTTTCAGTTTTCCTTCTGGACCTTGAATGTCAACATCAGGAACTTCAACAGACATTTTGGGGGATTTAATGTCAATCTCAGGACCTTTTAAATCACCTTCTATGTTAGGGACAGAAACATCCATGTCTCCTTTCAGTTTAGAACCTTTTAAGTTTAAATCAATATCTGGCATGGAGATTTTAGGTGCCTTGATATTCATTTCAGGCATCTTAAATTTTGGACCTTTCCATTTTCCTTCAGGCCCTTCGATATCTAAATCAGGGACATCAATGTCCATCTTAGGACCCAAAATATCAACCCCTCCTTTTGGAAGACTTACATCCACATCCGGGCCTTCCCCTTTGAACCCAGGCATGCTGAATTTAGGCATCTTCATTTTAGGCATTTTCAGTTTTCCTTCAGGGCCATGAATATCAATGTCTGGCGCATCAATATCCACTTTGGGACCTTTGATATCAAATTCAGGACATTTCAAATCACCTTCCAACTTAGGTCCAGAAACATCTATATCTCCTTTTAGCTTAGGGCCTTTAAGGTTGAAGTCCACGTCAGGCATGGATAGTTTAGGTGCCTTAATATGCATTTCGGGCATCTTAAATTTGGGGCCTTTCCATTTTCCTTCTGGGCCCTCAATCTCCACATCTGGGGCATCTATGTCCAATTTGGGGCCTTTAATATCGACTTCAGGGCCTTTCAAATCACCTTCAATATTTGGCACATCCACATCTCCCTTCAATTTGGGGCCTTTTAAATTCAGATCAAAGTCTGGCATGGAGATTTTAGGTGCTTTAAAATGCATGTCAGGCATCTTAAATTTGGGGCCCTTCCATTTCCCATCTGGACCTTCAATCTCCACATCAGGGGCATCTATGTCCAGTTTGGGACCTTTGATATCGAATTCTGGGCCTTTCAGGTCCCCTTCCAATTTTGGAACAGAAACATCCACATCCCCCTTCAGCTTAGGGCCTTTAAAATTCAAGTCAATGTCTGGCATGGAAATTTTAGGTGCCTTGATGTTCATTTCAGGCATCTTAAATTTAGGGCCTTTCAACTTTCCCTCCGGACCTTCAATGTTCAAATCTGGGGCATCTACGTCTACTTTGGGGCCAGAAATATCCACCTCCCCCTTTGGAAGTTTTACATCCACGTCAGGGCCTTCCCCTTTGCCTCTGGGCCATGAAGATCCACGTCTGGTACATCAATGTCAACTTTGGGGCCTTTGAGGTCAAAATCAGGGCCTTTCAAATCCCCTTCCAGTTTAGGGCCTGAAATGTCCATATCTCCCTTGATTTTCGGACCCTTTACATTCAAATCAAAATCTGGCATGGAAATTTTAGGTGCTTTAAAATGCATGTCAGGCATCTTTAATTTGGGGCCTTTCCATTTTCCATCTGGACCTTCAATGTCCACATCAGGCACATCTGTTTCCAATCTGGGGCCTTTGATATCAACTTCTGGGCCTTCAAATTTTGGAACAGAAACATCCACATCCCCCTTTAATTTAGGGCCTTTCAAATTCATGTCAATGTCTGGCATAGAAATTTTAGGTGCCTTGATGTTCATTTCAGGCATCTTAAATTTAGGGCCTTTCAACTTTCCCTCCGGACCTTCAATGTTCAAATCTGGGGCATCTACGTCTACTTTGGGGCCAGAAATATCCACCTCCCCCTTTGGAAGTTTTACATCCACGTCAGGGCCTTCCCCTTTGAACCCGGAGATGCCAAATTTGGGCATTCTGAATTTAGGCATTTTGAGTTTAGCCTCTGGGCCATGAAGATCCACATCTGGTACATCAATGTCAACTTTGGGGCCTTTGAGGTCAAAATCAGGGCCTTTCAAATCCCCTTCCAGTTTAGGGCCTGAAATGTCCATATCTCCCTTGATTTTCGGACCCTTTACATTCAAATCAAAATCTGGCATGGAAATTTTAGGTGCTTTAAAATGCATGTCAGGCATCTTGAATTTGGGGCCTTTCCACTTCCCATCTGGACCTTCAATGTCCATATCAGGCGCATCTGTTTCCAATCTGGGGCCTTTGATATCAACTTCTGGGCCTTCCAATTTTGGAACAGAAACATCCACATCCCCCTTCAACTTAGGACCTTTCAGATTCAAATCAATGTCTGGCATGGAAATTTTAGGTGCTTTGACGTGCATCTCAGGCATCTTAAATTTAGGACCTTTCAGTTTTCCCTCTGGTCCCTCAATGTCAAGATCTGGAACATCTATGTCTAATTTGGGACCTTTAATATCAACATCTGGGGCTTTCAAATCTCCTTCCAATTTTGGAACAGAAACATCTACATCCCCCTTCAACTTAGGGCCTTTCAAGTTAAAATCAAAATCTGGCATGGAGATTTTAGGTGATTTAAAATGCATATCAGGCATCTTGAATTTGGGGCCCTTCCACTTCCCATCTGGACCTTCAATCTCCACATCAGGGGCATCTATGTCCATTTTGGGGCCTTTAATATCGACTTTTGGGCCTTTCAAATCCCCTTCCAATTTTGGAACAGAAACATCCACATCTCCCTTCAACTTAGGGCCTTTCAAATTCAAATCAAAGTCTGGCATAGAAATTTTAGGTGCCTTGATATTCATTTCAGGCATCTTAAATTTTGGGCCTTTCCATTTTCCTTCTGGTCCTTCAATTTCCACATCAGGAGCATCAATGTCTATTTTAGGTCCTGAAATATCAATCTCTCCTTTTGGAAGACTTAGATCCACATCTGGGCCTTCTCCTCTGAACCCGGGCATTCCGAATTTAGGCATTTTGAATTTAGGCATTTTCAGTTTACCCTCTGGGCCGTGAATATCCATGTCTGGTGCATCAATGTCCATCTTGGGACTTCTGATATCAATTTCAGGTCCCTTCAAATCTCCTTCCAGTTTAGGGCCAGAACCACCTATGTCTCCTTTTAGTTTAGGGCCCTTTAAGTTAAAATCAATATCGGGCATTGAGACTTTTGGTGCCTTGATGTTCATTTCAGGCATCTTAAATTTGGGGCCTTTCCATTTTCCTTCAGGACCTTCAATATCAGGAGCATCAATGTCTACTTTGGGGCCTTGGATATCAAACTGAGGACCTTTCAAATCCCCTTCCAGTTTAGGGCCAGAAACATCCACATCCCCCTTTACTTTTGGGCCTTTCAGGTTCAAATCAAAATCTGGCATGGAGATTTTTGGTGTTTTAAAATGCATATCAGGCATCTTGAATTTGGGGCCCTTCCATTTCCCATCTGGACCTTCAATCTCCACATCAGGGGCATCTATGTCCAGTTTGGGGCCTTTGATATCGATTTCTGGGCCTTTCAAATCCCCTTCTAATTTTGGAACAGAAACATCCACATCCCCCTTTAATTTAGGGCCTTTCAAATTCAAATCAATGTCTGGCATGGAAATTTTAGGTGCCTTGATGTGCATCTCAGGCATCTTAAATTTGGGACCTTTGAGTTTTCCCTCTGGTCCTTCAATATCAAGATCAGGAGTATCTATGTCCAATTTGGGACCTTTAATATCAACATCTGGGGCTTTCAAATCTCCTTCCAATTTTGGAACAGAAACATCTACATCCCCCTTCAACTTAGGGCCTTTCAAGTTAAAATCAAAATCTGGCATGGAGATTTTAGGTGATTTAAAATGCATATCGGGCATCTTGAATTTGGGGCCCTTCCACTTCCCATCTGGACCTTCAATCTCCACATCAGGGGCATCTATGTCCAGTTTGGGGCCTTTGATATCAACTTCTGGGCCTTTCAACTCCCCTTCCAATTTTGGAACAGAAACATCCACATCCCCCTTTAATTTAGGGCCTTTCAAGTTCAAATCAATGTCTGGCATGGAAATTTTAGGAACATTGAAATGCATTTCAGGCATTTTAAATTTGGAGCCTTTCAGTTTTCCCTCAGGACCTTCAATTTCCAAATCTGGAACATCAATGTCTATTTTGGGACCTGAAATATCCACCTCCCCTTTTGGAAGGTTTACATCCATATCTGGTCCCTCTCCTTTGAACCCAGGCATGCCAAATTTAGGCATTTTCAATTTGGGTATTTTGAGTTTCCCTTCTGGACCATGAATATCAATGTCTGATGCATCGATGTCTACATGGGGACTTTTGATGTCCATTTCGGGCCCTTTTAAATCCCCTTCCAGCTTTGGACATGAAACATCTAGCTCTCCTTTCAGTTTAGAACCTTTTAGATTTAACTCTACATCTGGCATTGACACTTTAGGTGATGAAATACTGAGGAACGGCATTTTAAATTTGGATCCCTTTGCTTTCCCTTGAATATCCACATCTGGAACACTCACATCCACCTTTGGTCCAGATACATCAATATCAGATTTCTTAACTTTCACATCCACATCAGGGGTCTGAACTTTTGGGCCAGAAAAACTGAATTTGGGCAGTTTAAATCTTGATTTTTTTGTCTTTCCTTCTATATCAAGTTTTGGGGCCTCAAGGTCAATATCTGGCCCTTTCAGTTCAACTTTGGGACCTTTCAAATCACCCCCTACTTTAGGAACAGATACATCCACATCTCCTTTCAGATTAGGACCTTTCACATTTAAATCGATATCTGGCATGGAGATTTTGGGAACATTAAAATGCATGTCGGGCTTCTTAAATTTGGGACCCTTTAGTTTTCCTTCTGGCCCTTCAATATCCAAATCAGGAACATCAATGTCAACTTTTGGAGCTGACAGATCAATCTCCCCTTTTTGAAGGCTTACATCTACATCTGGTCCCTCCCCTTTGAACCCAGGCATGCCAAATTTGGGCATTTTGAATTTAGGCATTTTGAGTTTACCCTCTGGGCCATGAAGATCCACGTCTGGTACATCAATGTCAACTTTAGGGCCTTTGATATCGAAGTCAGGACACTTCAAATCACCCTCAATCTTTGGAACTGAACCATCCACATCTCCCTTCAGTTTAGGTCCTTTCAAGTGTAAATCAACATCTGGCATGGAGATTTTGGGTGCCTTGATGTGCATTTCAGGCATCTTAAATTTGGGACCTTTCACCTTTCCTTCTGGCCCCTCAAAATCCAACTCTGGAGCATCAATGTCAACGTTTGGACCTGACAGGTCAATCTCTCCTTTTGGAAGGTTTACATCAAAATCTGGTGCCTCCCCTTTGAATCCAGGCATGCCAAACTTGGGCATTTTGAATTTAGGCATTTTGAGTTTACCCTCTGGGCCATGAAGGTCCACGTCTGGTACATCAATATCAACTTTGGGGCCTCTGAGGTCAAAATCAGGTCCCTTCAAATCACCCTCAATCTTTGGTACAGACACATCTACATCTCCCTTCAGTTTAGGGCCCTTCAAGTGTAAATCAACATCTGGCATGGAAATTTTGGGTGCCTTGATGTGCATTTCAGGCATCTTAAATTTGGGACCTTTCAGTTTTCCTTCCGGCGCCTCAATATCCAAATCAGGAGCTTCAATGTCAACTTTTGGACCTGACACATCAATCTCCCCTTTTGGAAGGCTTACATCAACATCTGGTCCCTCCCCTTTGAACCCAGGCATGCCAAACTTGGGCATTTTGAATTTAGGCATTTTGAGTTTACCCTCTGGGCCATGAAGGTCCACGTCTGGTACATCAATATCAACTTTGGGGTCTCTGAGGTCAAAATCAGGCCCCTTCAAATCACCCTCAATCTTTGGAACAGACACATCCACATCTCCCTTCAGTTTAGGGCCTTTCAAGTGTAAATCAACATCTGGCATGGAAATTTTGGGTGCCTTGATGTGCATTTCAGGCATCTTAAATTTGGGACCTTTCAGCTTTCCCTCTGGACCTTCAATATCCAACTCTGGAGTATCAATGTTCAATTTGGGACCTTTGATATCAACCCCAGACCCTTGCAAATCACCTTTCAATTTTGGAACACAAACATCCACATCCCCCTTCACTTTCGGGCCTTTCAGGTTCAAATCAAAGTCTGGCATAGAAATTTTAGGAGCCTTGATGTTCATTTCAGGCATCTTAAATTTAGGGCCTTTCAACTTTCCCTCTGGACCATCAATGTTCATGTCTGGGGTCTCTATAGCTACCTCCGGCCCAGAAATATCCACCTCCCCTTTTGGAAGCTTCACATCCACCTCTGGTCCTTCCCCTTTAAGACTAGGCATGCCAAACTTGGGCATTTTGAATTTAGGCATTTTGAGTTTACCCTCTGGGCCATGAAGATCCACGTCTGGTACATCAATGTCCACTTTGGGGCCTTTGAGATCAAAATCTGGCCCCTTCAAATCACCCTCAATCTTTGGTATAGACACATCCACATCTCCCTTCATTTTAGGGCCTTTCAAATTCAAGTCAAAATCTGGCATGGAGATTTTGGGTGCTTTAATATGCATTTCAGGCATCTTAAATTTGGGACCTCTCAGTTTTCCTTCTGGCCCCTCAATATCCAAATCAGGAGTATCAATGTCAACTTTTGGAGCTGACAGATCAATGTCCCCCTTTGGAAGCTTCACATCCACGTCTGGCCCCTCCCCTTTGAAACCAGGCATGCCAAACTTGGGCATTTTGAATTTAGGCATTTTGAGTTTACCCTCTGGGCCATGAAGATCCATGTCTGGTACATCAATGTCAATTTTAGGGCCTTTGATATCAAAGTCAGGACCCTTCAAATCACCCTCAATCTTTGGTACAGACACATCCACATCTCCCTTCAGTTTAGGGCCTTTCAAATTCAAATCAATATCTGGCATGGATATTTTCGGTGCCTTGATGTTCATTTCAGGCATCTTAAATTTAGGGCCTTTCAGCTTTCCCTCTGGACCTTCAATATCCAACTCTGGAGCATCAATGCCTATCTTGGGGCCAGAAATGTCCACTTCTCCTTTTGGAAGCTTCACATCCACCTCTGGTCCCTCCCCTTTGAAACCAGGCATGCCAAACTTGGGCATTTTGAATTTAGGCATTTTGAGTTTACCCTCTGGGCCATGAAGATCCACGTCTGGTACATCAATGTCAACTTTAGGGCCTTTGATATCAAAGTCAGGCCCCTTCAAATCACCCTCACTCTTCGGTACAGACACATCCACATCTCCCTTCAGTTTAGGGCCTTTCAAATTCAAATCAATATCTGGCATGGATATTTTCGCTGCCTTGATGTTCATCTCAGGCATCTTAAATTTAGGGCCTTTCAGCTTTCCCTCTGGACCTTCAATATCTAACTCTGGAGCATCAAAGCCTATCTTGGGACCTGAAATGTCCACTTCCCCTTTTGGAAGCTTCACATCCACTTCGGGCCCTTCTCCTTTAAGACTAGGCATGCCAAATTTGGGCATTTTGAATTTAGGCATTTTGAGTTTACCCTCTGGGCCATGAAGGTCCACGTCTGGTACATCCAGGTCAATTTTAGGGTCTTTGAGGTCAAAATCAGGCCCCTTCAAATCACCCTCAATCTTTGGAACAGACACATCCACATCTCCCTTCAGTTTAGGGCCTTTCAAATTCAAATCAATATCTGGCATGGATATTTTCGCTGCCTTGATGTTCATCTCAGGCATCTTAAATTTGGGACCTTTCAGTTTTCCTTCTGGCCCATCAATATCCAAATCAGGAGTATCAATGTCAACTTTTGGACCTGATAGATCAATTTCCCCCTTTGGAAGCTTCACATCCACTTCGGGCCCTTCTCCTTTAAGACTAGGCATGCCAAATTTGGGCATTTTGAATTTAGGCATTTTGAGTTTACCCTCTGGGCCATGAAGATCCACGTCTGGTACATCAATGTCAATTTTAGGGCCTTTGATATCAAACTCAGGACCCTTCAAATCACCCTCAATATTTGGTACCGACACACCTACGTCTCCCTTCAGTTTAGGGCCTTTCAAATTTAAATCAATATCTGGCATGGATATTTTAGGTGCCTTGATGTTCATTTCAGGCATCTTAAATTTGGGACCTTTCAGTTTTCCTTCTGGCCCATCAATATCCAAATCAGGAGTATCAATGTCAACCTTTTGGAAGCTTCACATCCACCTCTGGTCCCTCCCCTTTGAAACCAGGCATGCCAAACTTGGGCATTTTGAATTTAGGCATTTTGAGTTTACCCTCTGGGCCATGAAGATCCACGTCTGGTACATCAATGTTAGCTTTGGAGCCTTTCAGATCAAAATCAGGCCCCTTCAAATCACCCTCAATCTTTGGAACAGAAACATCCATATCTCCCTTCAGTTTAGGACCTTTCAAGTGTAAATCAACATCTGGCATAGAGATTTTGGGTGCCTTGATATTCATTTCAGGCTTCTTAAATTTGGGACCCTTTAGTTTTCCTTCTGGCCCTTCAATATCCAAATCAGGAACATCAATGTCAACTTTTGGACCTGAAAGATCAATCTCCCCTTTTGGAAGACTTACATCAACATCTGGTCCCTCCCCTTTGAATCCAGGCATACCAAACTTGGGCATTTTGAATTTAGGCATTTTAAGTTTACCCTCTGGGCCATAAAGATCCACGTCTGGTGCATGAATGCCAACTTTAATCAGGAACATCAATGTCAACTTTTGGACCTGAAAGATCAATCTCCCCTTTTGGAAGACTTACATCAACATCTGGTCCCTCCCCTTTGAATCCAGGCATACCAAACTTGGGCATTTTGAATTTAGGCATTTTAAGTTTACCCTCTGGGCCATAAAGATCCACGTCTGGTGCATGAATGCCAACTTTAGGGCCTTTCAGGTCAAAATCAGGCCCCTTGAAATCACCCTCAATCTTTGGAACAGACACATCCACATCTCCCTTCAGTTTAGGGCCTTTCAAATGTAAATCAACATCTGGCATGGAGATTTTGGGTGCTTTGATGTTCATTTCAGGCATCTTAAATTTGGGACCTTTCAGCTTTCCCTCTGGACCTTCTATATCCAATTCTGGAGCATCAATATCAACTTTTGGACCTGACAGATCAAAGTCCCCCTTTGGAAGCTTCACATCCACGTCTGGCCCTTCTCCTTTAAGACTAGGCATGCCAAACTTGGGCATTTTGAATTTAGGCATTTTGAGTTTACCCTCTGGGCCATGAAGATCCACGTCTGGTACATCAATGTCAACGTTAGGGCCTTTGATATCGAAGTCAGGACCCTTCAAATCACCCTCAATCTTCGGTACAGTCACATCCACATCTCCCTTTAGTTTAGGGCCTTTCAAATTCAAATCAATATCTGGCATGGATATTTTAGGTGCCTTGATGTTCATTTCAGGCATCTTAAATTTGGGACCTTTCAGCTTTCCTTCAGGACCTTCAATATTCAACTCTGGAGCATCAATGTCTATCTTGGGACCAGAAATGTCTACTTCCCCTTTTGGAAGCTTCACATCCACCTCTGGTCCCTCCCCTTTGAAACCAGGCATGCCAAACTTGGGCATTTTGAATTTAGGCATTTTGAGTTTACCCTCTGGGCCATGAAGATCCACGTCTGGTACATCAATGTCAACTTTGGGGCCTTTCAGGTCAAAATCAGGCCCCTTGAGATCACCCTCAATCTTTGGAACAGAGACATCCACATCTCCCTTCAGTTTAGGGCCTTTCAAATTCAAGTCAATGTCTGGCATAGTTATTTTAGGTGCTTTTATGTGCATTTCAGGCATCTTAAATTTAGGACCTTTTATTTTTCCATCTGGTTCTTCTATGTCCAAATCTGGAGCATCAATATCCACTTTGGGACCAGAAATGTCCACCTTTCCCTTAGGGAGTTTCACATCCATGTCAGAGCCTTCTTTGAATCCAGGCATGCCAAACTTTGGAAACTTCATTTTTGGCATTTTCAGTTTGGCTTCTGGACATTCTAGGTCAACATCAGGAACATCTACATCAACTTTGGGCCCTTTAATGTCAATGTTGGGTCCTTTAACATCACCTCCCATCTTTGGAACAGAAACATCCATCTCTCCTTTCAGTTTAGGTGCTTTTACATTCAGGTCAACATCTGTCATGGAGATTTTAGGGGTCTTGATGTTCAATTTAGGCATCCTAAATTTGGGGCCTTTCACCTTGCCTTCTGGACACTCCAAATCCATATCAGGCACATCAATGTCCATTTGGGGACTTTCAATATCAATTTGAGGCCCCTTAATGTCAATGCTGGGTCCCTTCAAATCACCTTCCATCTTTGGAACAGTGATATCCACATCGCCTTTCAGTTTAGGTGCCTTCAAACCTAGGTTCACATCAGGCATGGAAACTTTTGGTGTCTGAATATCTAGCTCAGGCAGACTGAACTTTGGACCTCTCACTTTACCTTCAGGCACTTCAGTGTCCAAACTTGGGATATCAATGTCCAGTTTAGGACCAGAAACACCCACCTCCCCCTTTGGAAGTGTTATATCCACATCTGGTCCTTCTCCTTTCAGCCCAGGCACACCAAATTTAGGCATTTTCAGTTTAGGCATTTTCAGTTTACTATCTGGGCCATGAATATCTACATCTGGTGCATCAATGTGTACTTTGGGAGCTTTAAGATCTAATTCAGGTCCCTTGAAATCACCTTGTATCTTTGGAACAGAAACATCCACATCTCCCTTCAATTTAGGACTCTTCAGGTTCAAGTCTATGTCAGGCATGGCGATTTTAGGGGTCCTGGTGTGCATTTCAGGCATCTTAAATTTGGGACCTTTCAGATGTCCTTCTGGCCCTTCAATGCCAATGTCAGGAGCATCTATGTCTATCTTGGGACCCTTTATGTCAATCTGAGGTCCCTTCAAGTCACCTCCTATTTGTGGGACGGAAACTTCCACATCTCCCTTCAGTTGAGGCCCTTTCAAACTCACATCCACATCCGGCATGGATACTTTTGATGGTGACATTTTCCAAGAAGGCATCGAGAATTTGGGCCCTTTCACCTGACCTTCAGGACTTTCAAGGCCAATGCCAGGAGCTTCAATGTCTAGTTTTGGGCCTTTAATGTCCACAGTGGGTCCTTTCAGATCCCCTCCGATCCTTGGTCCTGAAATACCCACATCTCCCTTCAGCTTGGGAGCTTTTAGATTCAGGTCCACATCTGGCATGGAGATTTTCGGTGTCTTGACATGCATTTCGGGCTTTTTAAATTTGGGACCTTTTAATTCTCCCTCGGGTCCTTCAATGTCCAAACCTGAAGCACCAATTTGTATCTTGGGACCAGAAATATCCACCTCCCCCTTTGGAAGTGTTATATCCACATCTTGCCCCTCCCCTTTCAACCCAGGCACACTGAATTTTGGCATTTTCAATTTAGGCATTTTCAGTTTACCTTCTGGGCCATGAATATCAATATCCGGTGTATCAATATCCACTTTTGGACCTTTAATGTCAATTCCAGGAGCTTTTAACTCCCCTTTCAACTCTGACACTGAAACATCCACATCTCCTTTGAGTTTAGGACCCTTCAGATTCAAGTCTATATCAGGCATGGAGATTTTAGGGGTCTTGATGTGCATTTCAGGCATCTTAAACTTGGGACCTTTCAGATGTCCTTCTGGCCCTTCAATGCCAATGTCAGGAGCATCTATGTCTATCTTGGGACCCTTTATGCCAATCTGAGGTCCCTTCAAGTCACCTCCTATTTGTGGGACGGAAACTTCCACATCTCCCTTCAGTTGAGGCCCTTTCAAACTCACATCCACATCCGGCATGGATACTTTTGATGGTGACATTTTCCAAGAAGGCATCGAGAATTTGGGCCCTTTCACCTGACCTTCAGGACTTTCAAGGCCAATGCCAGGAGCTTCAATGTCTAGTTTTGGGCCTTTAATGTCCACAGTGGGTCCTTTCAGATCCCCTCCGATCCTTGGCCCTGAAATACTCACATCTTCCTTCAGCTTGGGAGTTTTTAGATTCAGGTCCACATCTGACATAGAGATTTTTGGGGTCTGGCTAATTAATTCAGGCTTCCTAAATTTGGGGACTTTCCATTCTCTTCCAGTGCCTGCATCTGGCATGCTGATGTCTACTTTGGGACCAGCAATAGCAACCTCCCCCTTTGGAAGCGTCACATCCACATCAGGTGCTGCCTCTTTGAAACCTGGTGAAGTAAATTTAGGAAATTTCATTGAGGGCATTTTTATTTTTCCTTCACCACCTTGAATATCAACATCAGGAGCCACAAGATCAATCTTGGGGCTCTTAACATCGACTTTGGGACCTTCTAGTGTTGGAGAGGACACTTCCATCGTTCCCTTCATCAACTGAGGTCCTTTGAGAGCCACACCCACGTGTGGCTTTGCAATGTTAGTGCCCTCACCTGCAGGCGCTGTAAATTTCAGTTTTTCCTTTGGACCTTCAACATGAACAGATGGAGCTGTAATATCTAGGGAAGGAGATTGCATCTTTGGTGCAGAAATGTCTACACCTGCCTGTGGTGCTCGAACATCAGTTCCTGAAGCTGAAGATGAGATGCTAAATTTAGGCATCTTCATTGCAGGCATTTTTATTTTTCCTGGGCTTTCAATGTTCATTCCCGGAGCTTTAATGTCTTGCGTATCGCATTCGATGCTCGAAAGGGGAATGTCTACCTTTGGAGTTTTGATATCACCTTGAATCTTAGGGCCAGAAATATCAACTGAAGGACCCTTGATTTCTGAAAAAGATACATCAACTTTGGGACCTTCCATATCGCTTCTTATCTTGGAGCCTGAAATACCGAATTGTGGCAGTTTGCCTCCTGGAGCTTCGGTTTTGACATCTATGCCTGAAACACCCTTTTTTCCACTTAGTTTAGGGCCTGTGGTGTGAATATTTGCATCCAGGTTTCCCCTCTGTCCATTTGCTTCGATTCTGGGCAAGCTGCTCTCTGGGCTTGTGACTCTAGTACCAGAGACACTAACTGATTTGCCAACATCCACACCTGGAACCTGAATTACTGCTGGTTTAAAGTCTGTTTGTGTTCTCAGGTGAACACCTGTGAGTTGAGGTCCAGAAACATTTATCTCAGTTCCCACCTTGGGCTCTTTCATGTGTACGTCAGGAGTACCAATGTCCAACCTTTTGGTAGAGGATTCAACTGTTGGTCCAGGATATGAGATGCCACTAGGTCTACCTCGGATCCCCATACTGAAGTCTCTTGTTTGTGTTGTCGTCCCAGACAAATCCACCTGTGGTATTTTGATCACAGTTTTCCCAGGTTCTTTTTCAATTTCTGTTGCTGTTATATGGGTGAGTTGGTGGCTTGGAATCTTAACTTTAAATTCTGGGCTGCTGATGTCAATCTCTTTTGCTCCCTCATGTCCAGTGACATCTACGGTATATGCTGTGACCTTTTTGGTGACGGTAATGGTTCTGCTTTCTGTGTGTTCCGCTTCTGCTGCATCATCCGACTTCAGACGTGGTTTGATTTTCGTTGTGTAAATTCTCCTGTATTCTGCATCATCCCCACTCTGGAAATAAGAGACATTGCTTAGCACCAGAGTGCCCCAAGGAGAGATGTGAAGGAGAAGGGGAACATTGGCTAGAGTTTCAGTAATGTGTACAGTAATCACTGGACTCGACTCTGTCTTGAAGGGTTGCGATTTGCATCTCCTTCCTACAGGGTGCTGCTGTGGCAAAGGGTCAAGTCACCCCCCCGGTCCTGCTGTTCTTTGCTATGGGCATCTATATGTTCAGAAGGACTGCTCCCCATGGAGATCCTGACTCAGCATACCTGGCTTGTCCCCATTCCTGACCACCTCTGTAGTGGCTGACTCCAAGCTATCAACAATGCCCTCTTTGCAACGCCCTTTCTAGCTGGGAAGATTTCCTGTCCTAAGAGAGGGTGGCCAAGATTCTGCAGTGGAATAAGTCCATATGGGCATCTATATGTTCAGAAGGACTGCTCCCCATGGAGATCCTGACTCAGCATACCTGGCTTGTCCCCATTCCTGACCACCTCTGTAGTGGCTGACTCCAAGCTATCAACAATGCCCTCTTTGCAACGCCCTTTCTAGCTGGGAAGATTTCCTGTCCTAAGAGAGGGTGGCCAAGATTCTGCAGTGGAATAAGTCCACTCTA